CCTATTCTGAGTCGATTCTGCATGCTTTAAGTGTGTTTGGTGGCTCAGAACCATCAAAAAACGTTGAAATATAGTTCAAATTCAATAAAAATCGACAAAAATACAGTTTCTAGCTAAAATTTGATGGTTTCGTTGCACTTTCCGAACCCGTAGGGTATCTGATTGGCTTAAAAGTACAAGAAAACACTTCAAAAGTGACGTTTCTGAAGAATTTTAACAGTTTTCTTGTATCTACGAACGCCAGAATGCATAAAATTGACCTAGACGTCTCCTTTTCCTATTCTGAGTCGATTCTGCATGCTTTAAGTGTGTTTGGTGGCTCAGAACCATCAAAAAACGTTGAAATATAGTTCAAATTCAATAAAAATCGACAAAAATACAGTTTCTAGCTAAAATTTGATGGTTTCGTTGCACTTTCCGAGCCCGTAGGGTATCTGATTGGCTTAAAAGTACAAGAAAACACTTCAAAAGTGACGTTTCTGAAGAATTTTAACAGTTTTCTTGTATCTACGAACGCCAGAATGCATAAAATTGACCTAAACGTCTCCTTTTCCTATTCTGAGTCGATTCTGCATGCTTTAAGTGTGTTTGGTGGCTCAGAACCATCAAAAAACGTTGAAATATAGTTCAAATTCAATAAAAATCGACAAAAATACAGTTTCTAGCTAAAATTTGATGGTTTCGTTGCACTTTCCGAGCCCGTAGGGTATCTGATTGGCTTAAAAGTACAAGAAAACACTTCAAAAGTGACGTTTCTGAAGAATTTTAACAGTTTTCTTGTATCTACGAACGCCAGAATGCATAAAATTGACCTAAACGTCTCCTTTTCCTATTCTGAGTCGATTCTGCATGCTTTAAGTGTGTTTGGTGGCTCAGAACCATCAAAAAACTTTGAAATATAGTTCAAATTCAATAAAAATCGACAAAAATACAGTTTCTAGCTAAAATTTGATGGTTTCGTTGCACTTTCCGAGCCCGTAGGGTATCTGATTGGCTTAAAAGTACAAGAAAACACTTCAAAAGTGACGTTTCTGAAGAATTTTAACAGTTTTCTTGTATCTACGAACGCCAGAATGCATAAAATTGACCTAAACGTCTCCTTTTCCTATTCTGAGTCGATTCTGCATGCTTTAAGTGTGTTTGGTGGCTCAGAACCATCAAAAAACGTTGAAATATAGTTCAAATTCAATAAAAATCGACAAAAATACAGTTTCTAGCTAAAATTTGATGGTTTCGTTGCACTTTCCGAGCCCGTAGGGTATCTGATTGGCTTAAAAGTACAAGAAAACACTTCAAAAGTGACGTTTCTGAAGAATTTTAACAGTTTTCTTGTATCTACGAACGCCAGAATGCATAAAATTGACCTAAACGTCTCCTTTTCCTATTCTGAGTCGATTCTGCATGCTTTAGGTGTGTTTGGTGGCTCAGAACCATCAAAAAACGTTGAAATATGGTTCAAATTCAATAAAAATCGACAAAAATACAGTTTCTAGCTAAAATTTGATGGTTTCGTTGCACTTTCCGAGCCCGTAGGGTATCTGATTGGCTTAAAAGTACAAGAAAACACTTCAAAAGTGACGTTTCTGAAGAATTTTAACAGTTTTCTTGTATCTTCGAACGCCAGAATGCATAAAATTGACCTTAACGTCTCCTTTTCCTATTCTGAGTCGATTCTGCATGCTTTAAGTGTGTTTGGTGGCTCAGAACCATCAAAAAACGTTGAAATATAGTTCAAATTCAATAAAAATCGACAAAAATACAGTTTCTAGCTAAAATTTGATGGTTTCGTTGCACTTTCCGAGCCCGTAGGGTATCTGATTGGCTTAAAAGTACAAGAAAACACTTCAAAAGTGACGTTTCTGAAGAATTTTAACAGTTTTCTTGTATCTACGAACGCCAGAATGCATAAAATTGACCTAAACGTCTCCTTTTCCTATTCTGAGTCGATTCTGCATGCTTTCAGTGTGTTTGGTGGCTCAGAACCATCAAAAAACGTTGAAATATAGTTCAAATTCAATAAAAATCGACAAAAATACAGTTTCTAGCTAAAATTTGATGGTTTCGTTGCACTTTCCGAGCCCGTAGGGTATCTGATTGGCTTAAAAGTACAAGAAAACACTTCAAAAGTGACGTTTCTGAAGAATTTTAACAGTTTTCTTGTATCTACGAACGCCAGAATGCATAAAATTGACCTAAACGTCTCCTTTTCCTATTCTGAGTCGATTCTGCATGTTTTAAGTGTGTTTGGTGGCTCAGAACCATCAAAAAACGTTGAAATATAGTTCAAATCCAATAAAAATCGACAAAAATACAGTTTCTAGCTAAAATTTGATGGTTTCGTTGCACTTTCCGAGCCCGTAGGGTATCTGATTGGCTTAAAAGTACAAGAAAACACTTCAAAAGTGACGTTTCTGAAGAATTTTAACAGTTTTCTTGTATCTACGAACGCCAGAATGCATAAAATTGACCTTACCGTCTCCTTTTCCTATTCTGAGTCGATTCTGCATGCTTTAAGTGTGTTTGGTGGCTCAGAACCATCAAAAAACGTTGAAATATAGTTGAAATTCAATAAAAATCGACAAAAATACAGTTTCTAGCTAAAATTTGATGGTTTCGTTGCACTTTCCGAGCCCGTTGGGTATCTGATTGGCTTAAAAGTACAAGAAAACACTTCAAAAGTGACGTTTCTGAAGAATTTTAACAGTTTTCTTGTATCTACGAACGCCAGAATGCATAAAATTGACCTAAACGTCTCCTTTTCCTATTCTGAGTCGATTCTGCATGCTTTAAGTGTGTTTGGTGGCTCAGAACCATCAAAAAACGTTGAAATATAGTTCAAATTCAATAAAAATCGACAAAAATACAGTTTCTAGCTAAAATTTGATGGTTTCGTTGCACTTTCCGAGCCCGTAGGGTATCTGATTGGCTTAAAAGTACAAGAAAACACTTCAAAAGTGACGTTTCTGAAGAATTTTAACAGTTTTCTTGTATCTACGAACGCCAGAATGCATAAAATTGACCTAAACGTCTCCTTTTCCTATTCTGAGTCGATTCTGCATGCTTTAAGTGTGTTTGGTGGCTCAGAACCATCAAAAAACGTTGAAATATAGTTCAAATTCAATAAAAATCGACAAAAATACAGTTTCTAGCTAAAATTTGATGGTTTCGTTGCACTTTCCGAGCCCGTAGGGTATCTGATTGGCTTAAAAGTACAAGAAAACACTTCAAAAGTGACGTTTCTGAAGAATTTTAACAGTTTTCTTGTATCTACGAACGCCAGAATGCATAAAATTGACCTAAACGTCTCCTTTTCCTATTCTGAGTCGATTCTGCATGCTTTAAGTGTGTTTGGTGGCTCAGAACCATCAAAAAACGTTGAAATATAGTTCAAATTCAATAAAAATCGACAAAAATACAGTTTCTAGCTAAAATTTGATGGTTTCGTTGCACTTTCCGAGCCCGTAGGGTATCTGATTGGCTTAAAAGTACAAGAAAACACTTCAAAAGTGACGTTTCTGAAGAATTTTAACAGTTTTCTTGTATCTACGAACGCCAGAATGCATAAAATTGACCTAAACGTCTCCTTTTCCTATTCTGAGTCGATTCTGCATGCTTTAAGTGTGTTTGGTGGCTCAGAACCATCAAAAAACGTTGAAATATAGTTCAAATTCAATAAAAATCGACAAAAATACAGTTTCTAGCTAAAATTTGATGGTTTCGTTGCACTTTCCGAGCCCGTAGGGTATCTGATTGGCTTAAAAGTACAAGAAAACACTTCAAAAGTGACGTTTCTGAAGAATTTTAACAGTTTTCTTGTATCTACGAACGCCAGAATGCATAAAATTGACCTAAACGTCTCCTTTTCCTATTCTGAGTCGATTCTGCATGCTTTAAGTGTGTTTGGTGGCTCAGAACCATCAAAAAACGTTGAAATATAGTTCAAATTCAATAAAAATCGACAAAAATACAGTTTCTAGCTAAAATTTGATGGTTTCGTTGCACTTTCCGAGCCCGTAGGGTATCTGATTGGCTTAAAAGTACAAGAAAACACTTCAAAAGTGACGTTTCTGAAGAATTTTAACAGTTTTCTTGTATCTACGAACGCCAGAATGCATAAAATTGACCTAAACGTCTCCTTTTCCTATTCTGAGTCGATTCTGCATGCTTTAAGTGTGTTTGGTGGCTCAGAACCATCAAAAAACGTTGAAATATAGTTCAAATTCAATAAAAATCGACAAAAATACAGTTTCTAGCTAAAATTTGATGGTTTCGTTGCACTTTCCGAGCCCGTAGGGTATCTGATTGGCTTAAAAGTACAAGAAAACACTTCAAAAGTGACGTTTCTGAAGAATTTTAACAGTTTTCTTGTATCTACGGACGCCAGAATGCATAAAATTGACCTAAACGTCTCCTTTTCCTATTCTGAGTCGATTCTGCATGCTTTAAGTGTGTTTGGTGGCTCAGAACCATCAAAAAACGTTGAAATATAGTTCAAATTCAATAAAAATCGACAAAAATACAGTTTCTAGCTAAAATTTGATGGTTTCGTTGCACTTTCCGAGCCCGTAGGGTATCTGATTGGCTTAAAAGTACAAGAAAACAATTCAAAAGTGACGTTTCTGAAGAATTTTAACAGTTTTCTTGTATCTACGAACGCCAGAATGCATAAAATTGACCTAAACGTCTCCTTTTCCTATTCTGAGTCGATTCTGCATGCTTTAAGTGTGTTTGGTGGCTCAGAACCATCAAAAAACGTTGAAATATAGTTCAAATTCAATAAAAATCGACAAAAATACAGTTTCTAGCTAAAATTTGATGGTTTCGTTGCACTTTCCGAGCCCGTAGGGTATCTGATTGGCTTAAAAGTACAAGAAAACACTTCAAAAGTGACGTTTCTGAAGAATTTTAACAGTTTTCTTGTATCTACGAACGCCAGAATGCATAAAATTGACCTAAACGTCTCCTTTTCCTATTCTGAGTCGATTCTGCATGCTTTAACACATTCGCTGCCGTTCCCGCGCTAGCGCGTGATGGCGCTCGTTTTGGCAATGCCTCTCACGCTCTAGAGCGTTTCGATGCGTTTTAAATTCAACATGCTGCCATTTACACTGGCACTGGCATAGGAACATGAAATTTAGCCAGGCACTAGCTTAAATATTCTTTTTAAATTTCCCGCTTGCGGTTTTCGATTTTGGACTTAATTGTCAGTCTGACAAAATGAACGACACGGACGAAGTCGAGGCTGGGCCTTCGGCTCCAAAACGTATGAAAATCTCACAAAATAATAAAAGAGCTAGCACAAAGAAGTTTCTTACTGATGACGAACTTCAGGCCATCTTAGAAGCGAGTAGTGATAGTGACGTTGACATCTACTTGAACGACGGAAGTGAAGTTTCCTCGTCGGAATCTGGTGACGAAGATGAGAGTATTTTTGATTTTCAACAAACTCAGACTGTTAGTACCAACAAGGACGAATTTCAATGGACAGAGGATTCAGGCTCTATGAAATCAGTACAATTTACCAAAGAAGAGAAAATGCTTATTCCAATTCCTGGTAAGGAGCCGATAGATTTTTTCATGATGTTTTTGACTCATGAGTTTCTGGAAAGCATAGTAGAGCAGACCAACATATATGCAACGGAAGTTTTTTTATCCAAAGGAACTAAAGAAAAATCCAGAATAACTAACTGGAAAGAAACGACAAATGAAGAAATGATCGTCTTCTTGGGATTACTCTTGCACATGGGTAACATTAGAATGAGTAGATTGCAGGATTATTGGAAGACAGACCCACTGTTCAATATAAATATTTTTCATTCTAGTATGAGTAGAAATAGATTTTTACTAATAATGAGAACGCTCCATTTTGCAAAAAATCCAGAACCCGGTGAGGCAGTTCCCCAAGACAGATTGCATAAAATTAGACCACCCGTACGTTTTTTCAATGAAAGAATGAGCAAAATATTTTATCCTGGCAGAGAGTTGAGCTTAGATGAGTCCATGATGTTGTGGCGCGGTAGACTGGTATTTCGTCAATATATAAAAAACAAACGACATAAATACGGAATAAAATTGTACATGCTAACCGACCCTAATGGAATTATTTTAAAATTCATGGTGTACACAGGTTCACTGGATGATTGCGGCGGAAAAGGTCACACTGAAAAAGTTGTTCTGCATCTTTTAGATGGCAAGTTAAATGTTGGACACTCTTTATACATGGACAACTTTTATAATAGTCCCGCTCTTGCCAAAACGTTGCTGAAGCAAAACACACATTGCACAGGCACACTCCGTATTGACCGAAAAGACTGTCCAACTGAAGTCAAACAAAAAAAATTAAAGCGAGGTGAAACTATTGCAAGATATTCAGGGGGTATATTAGTTGGCAAATGGAAAGACAAGAGAGATGTGTGCTACATATCTAATGAATATGAGAATACTATGCTAAATGTCACAAACAGAAGAGGAGATACTAGAGAAAAGCCTCTGCCAATAATCCAATACAATACATATATGGCAGGAGTAGATAGGCAAGATCAATTATTATCGTATTATCCATGCGAAAGGAAGACTATAAGGTGGCCAACTAAAATTTTCGTTCATATTCTTCAAATGATGCTAATAAATGCTCACGGACTTTACAATAAATACTCGGGTAAAAAAATGAATTTATACGATTTTAGAGTTGCGGTAATACGCAAATTGCTACCAACACAAACTGTTGTGCAAGAAAATCAGCCAAAACTTGACGCACATTATTTGGTCAAGCGTGAGGAGAAAACATCGTCTGGGAAAATAAAGAGAAAGGCGTGTAAGACGTGCTACAAAAAGAATAAGCGCACGGATACAACATACGTCTGCCAGAAATGTCCAGGTCTTCCAGGCTACTGCCTCGATTGTGCAACGCTTACACACGTATAATCAATTTTTTATATGAATATTTCGAATTTTTGTTTATTTGAAGTTGTTTTTAGTTTTCGTTTTGCAATATAACAAATGTTTTTGTTAAGTTTTGTTTGTTTTACTAATTTTTGTAATAAAATGGAGAGATTTTATTTATTTATTTTTTGTTTCTTTCGTTATTCATATCATGTGTTGAAGCAAACTAATTTCTAAAATTTAACGCTCTTGCGCGTTGGGCGGCATTGGGTATGCAGTTTTCATTACCAGTGCCAGTCACGCTCAGGCGCGTTAATTTTCCAAAATTTCTAAAACTTGTTTTTTTTGTGTCCAGTACACTTACTACTTCCTTCAAGTGTTTATTTCTGCAAAATTTTGAAAATTCGTTCAAAAACTGAATTCGGCCCCTTGGGACTGATTGTTCCTAAAAGGTGGCAGCGAATGTGTTAAGTGTGTTTGGTGGCTCAGAACCATCAAAAAACGTTGAAATATAGTTCAAATTCAATAAAAATCGACAAAAATACAGTTTCTAGCTAAAATTTGATGGTTTCGTTGCACTTTCCGAGCCCGTAGGGTATCTGATTGGCTTAAAAGTACAAGAAAACACTTCAAAAGTGACGTTTCTGAAGAATTTTAACAGTTTTCTTGTATCTACGAACGCCAGAATGCATAAAATTGACCTAAACGTCTCCTTTTCCTATTCTGAGTCGATTCTGCATGCTTTAAGTGTGTTTGGTGGCTCAGAACCATCAAAAAACGTTGAAATATAGTTCAAATTCAATAAAAATCGACAAAAATACAGTTTCTAGCTAAAATTTGATGGTTTCGTTGCACTTTCCGAGCCCGTAGGGTATCTGATTGGCTTAAAAGTACAAGAAAACACTTCAAAAGTGACGTTTCTGAAGAATTTTAACAGTTTTCTTGTATCTACGAACGCCAGAATGCATAAAATTGACCTAAACATCTCCTTTTCCTATTCTGAGTCGATTCTGCATGCTTTAAGTGTGTTTGGTGGCTCAGAACCATCAAAAAACGTTGAAATATAGTTCAAATTCAATAAAAATCGACAAAAATACAGTTTCTAGCTAAAATTTGATGGTTTCGTTGCACTTTCCGAGCCCGTAGGGTATCTGATTGGCTTAAAAGTACAAGAAAACACTTCAAAAGTGACGTTTCTGAAGAATTTTAACAGTTTTCTTGTATCTACGAACGCCAGAATGCATAAAATTGACCTAAACGTCTCCTTTTCCTATTCTGAGTCGATTCTGCATGCTTTAAGTGTGTTTGGTGGCTCAGAACCATCAAAAAACGTTGAAATATAGTTCAAATTCAATAAAAATCGACAAAAATACAGTTTCTAGCTAAAATTTGATGGTTTCGTTGCACTTTCCGAGCCCGTAGGGTATCTGATTGGCTTAAAAGTACAAGAAAACACTTCAAAAGTGACGTTTCTGAAGAATTTTAACAGTTTTCTTGTATCTACGAACGCCAGAATGCATAAAATTGACCTAAACGTCTCCTTTTCCTATTCTGAGTCGATTCTGCATGCTTTAAGTGTGTTTGGTGGCTCAGAACCATCAAAAAACGTTGAAATATAGTTCAAATTCAATAAAAATCGACAAAAATACAGTTTCTAGCTAAAATTTGATGGTTTCGTTGCACTTTCCGAGCCCGTAGGGTATCTGATTGGCTTAAAAGTACAAGAAAACACTTCAAAAGTGACGTTTCTGAAGAATTTTAACAGTTTGCTTGTATCTACGAACGCCAGAATGCATAAAATTGACCTAAACGTCTCCTTTTCCTATTCTGAGTCGATTCTGCATGCTTTAAGTGTGTTTGGTGGCTCAGAACCATCAAAAAACGTTGAAATATAGTTCAAATTCAATAAAAATCGACAAAAATACAGTTTCTAGCTAAAATTTGATGGTTTCGTTGCACTTTCCGAGCCCGTAGGGTATCTGATTGGCTTAAAAGTACAAGAAAACACTTCAAAAGTGACGTTTCTGGAGAATTTTAACAGTTTTCTTGTATCTACGAACGCCAGAATGCATAAAATTGACCTAAACGTCTCCTTTTCCTATTCTGAGTCGATTCTGCATGCTTTAAGTGTGTTTGGTGGCTCAGAACCATCAAAAAACGTTGAAATATAGTTCAAATTCAATAAAAATCGACAAAAATACAGTTTCTAGCTAAAATTTGATGGTTTCGTTGCACTTTCCGAGCCCGTAGGGTATCTGATTGGCTTAAAAGTACAAGAAAACACTTCAAAAGTGACGTTTCTGAAGAATTTTAACAGTTTTCTTGTATCTACGAACGCCAGAATGCATAAAATTGACCTAAACGTCTCCTTTTCCTATTCTGAGTCGATTCTGCATGCTTTAAGTGTGTTTGGTGGCTCAGAACCATCAAAAAACGTTGAAATATAGTTCAAATTCAATAAAAATCGACAAAAATACAGTTTCTAGCTAAAATTTGATGGTTTCGTTGCACTTTCCGAGCCCGTAGGGTATCTGATTGGCTTAAAAGTACAAGAAAACACTTCAAAAGTGACGTTTCTGAAGAATTTTAACAGTTTTCTTGTATCTACGAACGCCAGAATGCATAAAATTGACCTAAACGTCTCCTTTTCCTATTCTGAGTCGATTCTGCATGCTTTAAGTGTGTTTGGTGGCTCAGAACCATCAAAAAACTTTGAAATATAGTTCAAATTCAATAAAAATCGACAAAAATACAGTTTCTAGCTAAAATTTGATGGTTTCGTTGCACTTTCCGAGCCCGTAGGGTATCTGATTGGCTTAAAAGTACAAGAAAACACTTCAAAAGTGACGTTTCTGAAGAATTTTAACAGTTTTCTTGTATCTACGAACGCCAGAATGCATAAAATTGACCTAAACGTCTCCTTTTCCTATTCTGAGTCGATTCTGCATGCTTTAAGTGTGTTTGGTGGCTCGGAACCATCAAAAAACGTTGAAATATAGTTCAAATTCAATAAAAATCGACAAAAATACAGTTTCTAGCTAAAATTTGATGGTTTCGTTGCACTTTCCGAGCCCGTAGGGTATCTGATTGGCTTAAAAGTACAAGAAAACACTTCAAAAGTGACGTTTCTGAAGAATTTTAACAGTTTTCTTGTATCTACGAACGCCAGAATGCATAAAATTGACCTAAACATCTCCTTTTCCTATTCTGAGTCGATTCTGCATGCTTTAAGTGTGTTTGGTGGCTCAGAACCATCAAAAAACGTTGAAATATAGTTCAAATTCAATAAAAATCGACAAAAATACAGTTTCTAGCTAAAATTTGATGGTTTCGTTGCACTTTCCGAGCCCGTAGGGTATCTGATTGGCTTAAAAGTACAAGAAAACACTTCAAAAGTGACGTTTCTGAAGAATTTTAACAGTTTTCTTGTATCTACGAACGCCAGAATGCATAAAATTGACCTGAACGTCTCCTTTTCCTATTCTGAGTCGATTCTGCATGTTTAAGTGTGTTTGGTGGCTCAGAACCATCAAAAAACGTTGAAATATAGTTCAAATTCAATAAAAATCGACAAAAATACAGTTTCTAGCTAAAATTTGATGGTTTCGTTGCACTTTCCGAGCCCGTAGGGTATCTGATTGGCTTAAAAGTACAAGAAAACACTTCAAAAGTGACGTTTCTGAAGAATTTTAACAGTTTTCTTGTATCTACGAACGCCAGAATGCATAAAATTGACCTAAACGTCTCCTTTTCCTATTCTGAGTCGATTCTGCATGCTTTAAGTGTGTTTGGTGGCTCAGAACCATCAAAAAACGTTGAAATATAGTTCAAATTCAATAAAAATCGACAAAAATACAGTTTCTAGCTAAAATTTGATGGTTTCGTTGCACTTTCCGAGCCCGTAGGGTATCTGATTGGCTTAAAAGTACAAGAAAACACTTCAAAAGTGACGTTTCTGAAGAATTTTAACAGTTTTCTTGTATCTACGAACGCCAGAATGCATAAAATTGACCTAAACGTCTCCTTTTCCTATTCTGAGTCGATTCTGCATGCTTTAAGTGTGTTTGGTGGCTCAGAACCATCAAAAAACGTTGAAATATAGTTCAAATTCAATAAAAATCGACAAAAATACAGTTTCTAGCTAAAATTTGATGGTTTCGTTGCACTTTCCGAGCCCGTTGGGTATCTGATTGGCTTAAAAGTACAAGAAAGCATTTCAAAAGTGACGTTTCTGAAGAATTTTAACAGTTTTCTTGTATCTACGAACGCCAGAATGCATAAAATTGACCTAAACGTCTCCTTTTCCTATTCTGAGTCGATTCTGCATGCTTTAAGTGTGTTTGGTGGCTCAGAACCATCAAAAAACATTGAAATATAGTTCAAATTCAATAAAAATCGACAAAAATACAGTTTCTAGCTAAAATTTGATGGTTTCGTTGCACTTTCCGAGCCCGTAGGGTATCTGATTGGCTTAAAAGTACCAGAAAACACTTCAAAAGTGACGTTTCTGAAGAATTTTAACAGTTTTCTTGTGTCTACGAACGCCAGAATGCATAAAATTGACCTAAACGTCTCCTTTTCCTATTCTGAGTCGATTCTGCATGCTTTAAGTGTGTTTGGTGGCTCAGAACCATCAAAAAACGTTGAAATATAGTTCAAATTCAATAAAAATCGACAAAAATACAGTTTCTAGCTAAAATTTGATGGTTTCGTTGCACTTTCCGAGCCCGTAGGGTATCTGATTGGCTTAAAAGTACAAGAAAACACTTCAAAAGTGACGTTTCTGAAGAATTTTAACAGTTTTCTTGTATCTACGAACGCCAGAATGCATAAAATTGACCTAAACGTCTCCTTTTCCTATTCTGAGTCGATTCTGCATGCTTTAAGTGTGTTTGGTGGCTCAGAACCATCAAAAAACGTTGAAATATAGTTCAAATTCAATAAAAATCGACAAAAATACAGTTTCTAGCTAAAATTTGATGGTTTCGTTGCACTTTCCGAGCCCGTAGGGTATCGGATTGGCTTAAAAGTACAAGAAAACACTTCAAAAGTGACGTTTCTGAAGAATTTTAACAGTTTTCTTGTATCTACGAACGCCAGAATGCATAAAATTGACCTAAACGTCTCCTTTTCCTATTCTGAGTCGATTCTGCATGCTTTAAGTGTGTTTGGTGGCTCAGAACCATCAAAAAACGTTGAAATATAGTTCAAATTCAATAAAAATCGACAAAAATACAGTTTCTAGCTAAAATTTGATGGTTTCGTTGCACTTTCCGAGCCCGTAGGGTATCTGATTGGCTTAAAAGTACAAGAAAACACTTCAAAAGTGACGTTTCTGAAGAATTTTAACAGTTTTCTTGTATCTACGAACGCCAGAATGCATAAAATTGATCTAAACGTCTCCTTTTCCTATTCTGAGTCGATTCTGCATGCTTTAAGTGTGTTTGGTGGCTCAGAACCATCAAA